AAAGAGTGTTATAAATTATTTAAAGCTTGATTTAAGGTTTTACATATTTCAAAGGCATCTTTACCTTTAAGAAAAATGAATAGGATAAAACGTCATTACAATTATTTTAAAAATCTAAACGTACAGCTTATATTGTATTTCCATTTTACTACAGTTAAAATCCTCCTATTAACACAAATTTTAGCTCGCCAAGATTGAACAATAAATGAATTCAAGACATAAAAACAAGTTTGTTTTTCCAATCTTTTCATTTTTTGTGTAAAAGACAAATAATTAGCACATACAATGAATCACAGGTATGAAAAAGCTACATGTACAAAACAAGGAAATTATATACTAAATTAAAATTAACAAATTGTAAAAAATAATTACAAATATATATATATATATATATAAATCTACCAGTAATTAGACTTTAGTATGAAAAAAAGCATTGTTTTTTTTTCTACCTTTAGTTTTCCCCCAGGGACAGATATCTATCAAACAATTCAACAGTCCCTTATGTTATATCATACAATGCCTCTGTGGACCTGGTGTGGTAAAAAGTAAGTTTACTGTCAGAAGAAATCAGAATAGTTTTAAGACAGGAGGAATAGTACAAGAAACATGTATCTATGTTCATGGACTATTTCTGCACCACAAACACCCCTGATTGGTCTAAAACAAATCATGTTACTTTTACATATAAATTTAAAAGACAATGATCACTAAAACTAAGTTTTTTTAATAAGGACTTTTGGCTTTAAGCAACGGACTTTAGTCCAACGATCACTGACCACACAGCTGGAAACCTCTGTTCCGTCTCCAGACAATAGCAAATTTCTGCCCCTTTACATGAACCAATTTGCAGAATTGTCAAAGACTTTTCACCACATTGGAAGCACAAGCTAACAAATTGAGCAAAGTCATTTCAGTTCCTTCCTGGTCTTTCCACTTAGTAGCTCATGACTGCAATGGAAAGGGACATAATACAGTGAACCCTATTTCTTGATACCACATTGGACCTTTTCTATCCTTTAAGACAATCTTCATCTCTAATGACAGTGTTTCTCCTTCTGTCACAAAACACAAACAAGGACCTCTCAGCTTTTATTGCAGATACACACATTTCTCTTTTAGATGCTCACTGATGGGAGCTCCAGCTTCACTAATGCCAGTGCAGGCTAAAACTGCAGTATTTGTGTTGCGGTTATCTGTCCTCTTTCCATCCATTTACACTGTTGTACTCCTGAATCTTCAGTTTGATATGAGACAGTTTGTTCTTCAGGTACTCACACCGCTCCCTTTTCTCCAGATACGTTGGGTCCTGATACAAGTACATGGAAATCGAAGTTAATACATTCCTCATGTAAACTTTTATATTCATTAGGAGCCCAGTGATTTAAAACCCTATAAAAAATTAAAAAATAAAAATATACTATCTACATTTTTCAATTTCTGAAAATAAGATTAAACTAAACATGTAAATAAAACACATGTATTTATAGTCATTTATATTATTTATATTACAAAATCTCTCTCATCAGATCAGATCATTACTTCCTCTTTTAACTTACATTTTTCTTCCTTTGATATTCCATTAGAATGCTGTCAATTCGTTCCCTCTCCTGGAAACATATTCAGTAAACAAGTGAAGTGAAGACTCTACACTCTGTTTACCTGCACGTTATTTTATATTTATTTATTTTTACCATCTGACTGGACGGCCGAGCAGACAGGTTAGTCATCATCATGTCCATTTCTTCAAACTTTGCAGCCATGGCCTGTACCTCTGCATGCAGCTCCTTATATTCAGCGTACTGGTCGTTAAAGACAGCCTTGTACTGGTCCCTCTCCTCATCACAGTGGATGCTAGGATATTTACTGGGCACCCAAGAAAAAAGGAAAGTTCATTTTAACATTCTAAAAATGAGTAATCAAAAAGGTCATAAAATTTACCCAGAAATTGCTGGAAGTTATCTAAATATGTTGTGAAATCTGAAGATTAGCTAAAGGGTCTAAAATTGTCATAAAAACAAATTCAACAACAGACACAATAAAGCTCAAAGAGGTTCTTTGAGCTTTGAATTTGTTTTCACTGTTATAAGCTCAATGTAAACATTAAAAGGTGAACAAGGTTGAAAATATTTCCGACTCACGCCACATAGTCCGCTATAATAACAGGTTTGGGGATGTGTCCAGCTGGAATGTGACCTTGGAGAATCTCTGGATGGAGCATCTTCACCGAGCTACCTGTGACACTGTTGGGAGCATCCATGATATCTGGATGGCCAGTGGGAAGGGTGGTAGCTTCTGAGGTTCTAGAGGCTGGACCGAGCTACAAGAAACAGCCGGAGTGATCATGAGTTGTCAGTCTAAAAGTAACAATAACTCTAACTAGTGAATCTTCACTACTTACTATAGACAGAGGCACTGATGACACTGTTGTCTTCATCTAAGAGTTTTGTTAATGAAAAACACAGAAGGTGAATTAGTCTTGTTCAGTAACATATTTCAATAAATAAATGTTCACCTAGGAATCCACCTAGGATCTTGGCTGGGTTTGGGAAACTTTGCTTTATATATTTGAGTTTGACATGTTTTTGCTTTTATTCAACAAATCCTTTGGATTAATGTCAGTATTTGTTAGATTTTGTAGCTATGTTTCAGCTGACCTTTGGTTTGTGTTTCTATCTATCTATCTATCTATCTATCTATCTATCTATCTATCCATCTAGAGCTATTACAAATTTCCTCCATCACTCGCAATAGAATATAAAGCTTTTATGTAAGTGTCTGTTAGTTTGTCTTACCTCTGATGCCAGTGCCTCCCTTCTCATTCTGGCTGCCTCATGCCTCCACAGCTTCAGACAAACCCCTGCACTTACAAAGTAAAGAGCCATGTTGAGGAAGAGGAAGACAATGGCTGCTGTCTGACCTGCCTCAGTACGACAGAAGGCTCCATTCACGCCGTTGTTGAAGACTGGAATGTTGCACAGTCCTCCTCTAGTTGTATCCCTCACGTACACAACTCCTGCCGCGATGAAGAGCACACCCAGAACCAGGTTGATGGAACACTCTGTGAGTGGCCACCAGGAAGAGTCTAGAAGAATGGCCCTATAGTACATGGACATACCCAGAACGACTAAAATCACAGTCACGATCCAAGCCACACCAGCTACTACCAGAACAAATGGGGTTTTAGGGCCCGTGTATTGGTAACCACCTCCAAGTCCACCCAGGCCTCCATACATCTGTGGACCAGTGTATCCATACATATTGAACCACTCATTGTCTTTGTGAACGTATGCACAGACGCAGGCAAACACAGCTGCACCGAGCAGCAACTGCACACATCCTAAGATTCTCAGCAGACCAGCCCAGGACTTCATGTAGGCATAGCGCAGGTGGTATTCCTCTACTCGTTCCTGGTAGGTCTGGGAGGAGATATTGCTGGGAACCTCAGACACTGAGGTGATTGCTTCAGCTCCAAGGAGAAGTCCATCGTGCTCTTTGTTAACACCGTTGTGGTCCCAGTAGGGACGAGGCATTGATGGAGACGGAGGGGCAGAGTGTGGAGGTGAACATGGGACTCCAGGTGTAGTGTGGCTTTTGGCACTCTTCTTAGACGATGGGGCTGGTGAGTGAGGGGCAGGTGGAGGTTCTGAAGAAGGAGGGAGTGACCATACGTTACTGCTTCGCTTACTACTGTTAACACGAAAGAAGTTCTTGACTGAGTCAGGGATGAAGCGGTGCACAGGCTTGATATCCATGGCGTCGCAGTCAGCAAGGACAGGCTCGTCATCACTAGGAGGATAGAAGGAATCAGGACCAATGGCTGGCTGAACAGGAAGAGGCGGAGGAGGAAGAGGGTCTAGGCTAACAGTTCGTACTGATCCGTGCAAAGATGGAGGAGGCAGCGGAAAATCTGAGTAGTCGGCAGGGACCTGGTCATAGATTGGTGTCTCACGCACCCGGTCAAACCTGGTGACTATTCCTGAAGACATCAGGACCTAAAATTCGATCTTTTTTTCTGCCAAAAAAAAAAAAAATATATATATATAAAATGAATAGCTACAGCAATTAAGCAAAAGCCGAACCTAAGTCATAAATACAGGATAAGTAAAACAAGACATTCCTAATAACAAAACACAAAAATAGTTTAGGTAAGCCCAGAAATAGTTTGAAAATAGGATCACCCAGGTGTTAGTTTAAAAGAACCACAACCATAACCACAAAGAAAGACAAAAAAAATAGAAGATAAAACAGAAAAATAAAGATGATCAGAGTTTCACGGGAAATTCAATGAATAATTAGTATAAACGACCCATTAGATACCTGGCACTGTGGTATCACTGTGTTAGCACTGTGTGTGTCAACCAATCGTTACACGTTTACTTTGTGTTTAGCTTTGGCTGAATAGCCCAATGAATGAGACAATAAGCCCCCTTTTTTAACGCATTGAGCCTTGTCACAATAGCATTTTTATTAGCCACCTGGTTTAGTAAATATAATCTTTACTAAAAGTTACATCTAAGCTAAGCAAAGTAAAACGCTACATTCGGTTTAACTTTTAAATATGTAAATAAATGCGCTAAAGATTCAACTCTCTTCACGATATACTGCAAAGAAACTAAATGGTGTGACACGAAAATGTTGCATACACCAAAAGCCCCGAAAAATATTTGCAAGAAAAACAGGTGAAACAGCAGGCGTAAACCATAACTGTCTATCATTCACCAAAAGAAAATCTAAATATTTGCTTTATTTATATGCGAAAACAAACAAAGAGGATGTTTTTCATTTGAAAATTAAACACAGACTAACCTGCTGATAGCTTTTGGTCCGTTTCAGATTGTGTTTTTCCTGCCGGTGGAGGTACAGGTTGACATAAACCCAGGTTTAGTTTTTAAGCAGATTCCAGATCAGTTTCACTGACTCACCTTCACAGGGTCTCAGAGTCTGAGAGTTGGATCTGGTCTGACTGGAATCGTGGTGTGTTCACGGACTAGTCTAAGAATTTGACAGTTAGTAATTGTTTGACTTGATCTATGGCGGGGGTCGCCAACGTGGTGCCCGGGGGCACCTGGTAAACCCCCATGGACTACAACAAGATGGTCAAAAACTGTACTGTTACTGTGCTTTTTGAACCAGTTACACTTGCAATGATATTCAACTGGTGATGGTAAGAACAGTGTCGACTACTGATAATTATTACATTGGTCAGGAAGTCTGTATCAAAGAAGTAGCTCTTCGTATTACTAAGTGACCATGAATTCGCTCTCAATTTCAAAAAGGTTGGTGACCCCTGATCTTTAGTATATTCTTGGGCCGGATCAGATAACCCCAGACTTCTTTAATGCCTTCATGGACCTCTTTCACTTTTGCCGGCCTTCATGGTCTAGTCTGACCGGAGAACCATCTTGCCAATTGGACGACCAACTTGCTATTCTTTTCTTGGTTAAACACCCAAAATATTTACATTCCGAAAAAGAAAATGATATAAGGTAGCATCAGGGTGTCTACAATGATTTTAATTCCTGTTTAGGACAATTCTTCATTTATTGTCTTAACTGCGTTGTCTAAAGAAAAAATAATTTGAGAGAGTGAGTTAAGGCTGCCATCTAGAGGACAACTTATTCATTTGCTTAAGAACGTCGGTTCGCAAGACACGTCTGCAATCTAGATCAGTGGTTCTCAAACTGTTTATACTCTGTACCACCTGAGAAAACCTTGATCTCTCTGAGTACCACCATGATGACCAACATTAGAATACAGCAGCGTAGGCCTTCCCTGTTAGCTTCCACCACACAGGAGAGAGGTTTATTCATTATGATGGTTATTTGTTGTTACCTTAACCCTGAATACAATTCTGTCCAACAATTTTAATTTTCCACATTCAACTTGCAAGTGAACCCATGATTCCTTGCTGCCAATTTCACAATCTCACAAGTAGCTACACATTTTTCTAAATGTTGTATTAATTGTGCACGGTATGTTTCAGATTTATTCAATTGAAAATGTAAATGTGAAAATATGAATCTTACCCATGTACCACTAGAGAGCGCTCAGTGGTACACGTACCACAGTTTGAGAACCACTGACCAAGAGTGTTTAATGTATAAAGGAACAGTTATTTTGGCTGCAGGAATTTATCAATTAAACATACAGTATGTTATCATTATATTAATCAAAATCATAATTATTTTATTTTATTATAAGTTTCCACTCAGGTTTTATTAAAACTGAATGTTTACTCTGGTCATATAAAATACAACATAGCTCAACCATAGCCCAACAATTCTATACTTATATTGATCTCTATAATTTTTTTTTATGTCAAGGAATTTTCATTGTTCACTTAGCAAGTATATGGCTTCATTATTACAGTTTAATTATTTTCTTTGATTAACCTCTAGATGTTTTGGAGATTACTTTTGCATATATTTGTACTTTTTCAGCTTCAAAATCATCTGAAGCCTAATATGCTCATGCTATGCACTTTTGTATGGTGGCATGTAAGTCCATTATACGGTCTGAAAAAATATGAAGAATTATGAAAAATGTCAATGACTCATGTTTCGTACTATAACAATAGTACCATAATAATAAAAGAACACAGCATCTGGTATTATATTTATCCTGTTTATTTTTTTTAGCTCCAGCCTCAGACACAAATTTAAAACCATATATCGAGGCAGGAAAAACTGTCAAGTCTGAATAGAAAATATAAAAAATATATGTATATAAACACATACAGTATATACAAACTATATAGAACTATAGTACGTCTATAAATATAGAACAAAATGATCAAGATTGGAAAAAATACATGTATCAAAGAAAGAGACCAGATGGTGGTGCCATTCTTCTGACACACAGCAGTGAGTTACTAAACAGAAATTGATTCTACTACCATTTTAATCTCTATTAAAGACCTTCAACTTCTACAGGGGACAGTCAGTTAGGGCCTGGGCCCAGGGTTACAGTCCTGATTCCTCAGCTTGTCTGAGAACTGTGCTCTGACAGTCAGGCAGATCATAGTAAATCCTGCAGATGTCGAAGTGTTTTCTGCACATCAGTAATTCCTGTTGTGTAAATGTGTCATCAAGGTTGCTCCACACTGTCAGAGAGAACCTGAAGAAAACACAAAAGCTTTAACAGCCCCAAAGGACTTATGTGTACCATTGTCAAAAATAATAACTAATTCAACTGTCGAAGCTACTACCAATTCCTGGTGAAATGGTATTAGTCCTGGGGTTAACTGATTTAAATTTTTTTAAAGGCCAAAAAACACACGACTCTAACTTTGCAGTATTTCCTTTAGCTGGTTTTTTGGCTGCAAATCAAATGACACACAAAACATTCCAGGACTTATGTAAAGATGTTTCCTGTCACATGGACAAAGCCCAAATGTGTAGTAAATAAAAGTCATGTTTTCATGTTTTTTTAGACATTGACTATGTTCTATTAATATATTATCTGTGAAGTTACTTGATAACACTATTCCACAGAAGACCTGCTTAAAAGCATCAAAATACGGACAGTCATTCAAAAATGAATTCTACTGTATCGTCTCTGCCCTTTCATTGACAGTGTTGTCCGTCGCAGGACTGAGAACAATGCCTGTCACAAGCAGACTTAGGCAGAGAGAGCCTTCCCGTCCTCCTTGGAGAGTCACAACACCACTCTAATCATCTTGTATTATCAAGAACACGTCCATCATCAGTGGCATAAATAACTGAGGGGAGCTAATGCTAATTGCAATTTCCATTTTTATGCTGATGACACAATCCTATATGCCTGTGCTGAAACCATTGAAAAAGCTGTTTTATACCTTCAGTCTGCTTTTAACTGTGTTCAAAATTGTTTTAACAATCTTAAATTGGTTCTTAATGAATCAAAAACCAAATTCATGCTTTTTACGAGATCAAGAGTGTGTGATCTTAACGTTTTTAGAATTTTCTACCTAAATGGAACCCAGATTGAGCAAGTTTCAAATTATCAATATCTGGGAATCTGGTTGGACAATAAGCTTTCTTTTAAAACACATGTGATTGAGCTCACAAAGAAGGTAAAAATTAAACTGAGTGCCTTATATAGAATCAGGTCTTGCCTTTCTTTTGAGAGCAGAAAGACCATTGTTGAAACAACCATTTTATCAATTTTAGATTATGGAGATATAATTTACATGCACGCATCTCCATCTACTCTGAAAGCTCTTGACACAGTTACCATAGTGCTATATGTTTTACTACTGGTGATCCTTTTAGAACTCATCACTGTAAACTATATGAGAGTGTAGGATGGTCCTCTCTCCATGAGAGGAGGGAAAGACATTGCCTCCTTTTTATTTACAAAGCACTACAAGGCAAATTACCATCATAACTCACTTCTCTTTTACATTTTAGACACTGCACATATAGCACAAGGTCACAAGGTTTTATAACACTAGAAACACCCCAAATAAGATCAGAGGCTGGCAAATTAGCTTTTCAGTTTTATGCACCCACTAAATGGAACCATCTGCAAGAGACACTGACATTACACAAACTTGTGTCTGTAAAGCGTTTTAAAGTTTTAATGGGAAATATACAGTGTTCTTGCTTTAACTGATTTACATATTTGGCTTTGGGAGATACTGTAATTACAAATACAATAAAGAATTCTTTAAGTGCAAAAGAAAATGTATACAGATTTCTGACAGCAAAGAGACAGGTTAGCAGAGGAGTACTCTGCTTGCTGCACATTCTTAATGTTAGATGTCACAGATTTTTACAGCACACCAGCAGATCAAAATAACTTACAATGACTTATAATGAACACAACCCATTGTGTCTTACTTAGTTACAAAAGGCTGAACTAAGTTGGGTTTTATATAAGAACATCACAGTAAATGGGTGGTTCCTGTGTGAAATTCCAACTGTAGGAAAAACAAAAGGTGATGTGACTCATCAGTACCTGTCCGACTGCTGAAGCAACCAAGTCAGCTGAGAGAGTGATTGAACCAGTAAAGCTGCACGGACTGGAAAAGTGACTGGACTAATGAGGTTTCTACATATTTTCTCCATGAGATGAACCATGTCCCAGCTGTAGCCTGGAGAAAATAAAAAATTGAGACAGTGTGCAAAGGGATAACAAACGCCTACGTTAACACAGAGCAGCAGTTAAAGCATCTGGGCAATTATCAGTAATCTGAGATGTATTATTTTGTAACATAAGTTGCAGTAACCCTTTGTTCAGATTTTTTATTTTATTTTATTTTAAATGTATTTTTATCTCTCTCTATATATGTACATCCTTAGATGTGGTGCTTGTTGTGGGTGAGACAGTCACTCTTTTGTGTAAATTCTGCATATTTCTATGTTTTCATTCAATATTGATTATGACAAAGCATTCTCTCCCGTGCTGTTTTTTTTTTTTCACATTAATGACTGAAAATATAAATTAAGTCATTGATGTCGATGACTTTAATTACACAAGTGGACTTGAAGTTCAGCAGTAGGTTGTAGGACACTTTAAGGCCATTATCCACAAAGGTTATAAATGTGTTGTTGGCAAAGTTATTAGTTTCAGCCAAACTACTTCTGGATACCTCACCTGGGTTGTCTCTTCCAGCTGTCCATCCTGTGGTCCAACCAAGGGACAGCACAATGTCGGAGGAAAGAGACGAGATAGCAGCAAGGAAAGACTGAGGCTCAAGAGGTGTGGCCTGTCCTCCAGGACCAGGAAGAATATCAGCATTGACCCACACAGGACATTTTAGCTCAGGAAAAACTTCCTCCAGCAGGACCACAGATGGAGACACTGCCTCCAGACTGTAGAGTCCAACGAACAATATTATTATTATTTTTCATTTATTGACATTTTGTTATACATGCATAGACTTGTATAAATACACAATTCAATCAAAGAAAAAAGAGAAAAGAAAGGGAATTATTTGCCATTGTGACACAGCACACCACTGCACACACAACAAAACCCATTACCAATGTGAGCAGGGAGCAGTTTAGGGGTGTGGGTGTGTGGGGACGGTGCCATGCTCAGAGCCCCTAAGTGGGCTCTGAGCATGGTGGACTCGAACTTGAAGGACCCAAGTCCACATCCTTAACCAACAAACCACCATTGCCCCTTGGATTGTAACATAAAACAGGTAGACCAGTACCCTATTAACATAGGCATCAGCTAGGTTACAAGTGTTATGAACAAAACATCATAATACAAAGAAAAAGAGTAAAAATTAAAAAAATACACATCATAAACACCATCTTTTTTGCATAAAGAACAAAATTATTCTATAGGGACGATTGATTTATTACCTCTTAAAGTCCAATTTTATTCCCCGGTGCTGCATCTTGACTTCTTCCAACCACTCTTTGAGTGTGATGTCACTGTCAGTGTCAGGAGGGTGTGCCATGACTGGCTCCTTGGGGTCACAACCTCTGATAATTACATCAGCCTCAAGCATATGGGTTGAACCTGGGGTGAGACAGATTCCCCCCTTTAATTTTACTTTAGGTTCTATACAGAAATACATTGACAATTGACACTTTTTTTTTACTATCACGGATTTGTTTTAAAAACATCCCAAAAGTCTGGCCAATGACATGGGATTCAGTCCTGTACTGTATATATGGACCAAGTTTGACATCGCAAAGTGCTAAAGCCTGAATCTTGCTATCCAACTTTACTTATGTTACCAGTGAGAATGTCTTTTAAGTTGATCATTTTAACCAGAACAACTCCTCAATTAAATGCGCACTCTTGCTCACGGGAACACGCACCTGTCAGAGCATCCTCCAGTTTTCCACGGCTGTTTACAGCATGACTCCATCTCAGCTCTGCTGCATCCTTCCGCCTTATCTCTCCGCGACTCAAGAAATGTTCCAGAGTGCGCTCAGACATCACTCTGTAATGGATAAACTTACCGATAATAAACCACCGTCAGGTCACTTAAGAACACCGCAAGGTTTCCTAACTTATTACTTTTTTTCCTTACTTGTTACTAACCAACTAGCCTAAACGAATTAACAATTTCAAAACAACCTGCAAAAACCTGAGCGAATTGACCCGGAAAGACAAACGCATTTCCGGTAGAATTGTTTCAAAACAAACACTGTTTGAACTATTTAGATATTTTGTTTCCAAAATATGTGATAAAGACACATTACTTATTCGAATTTAGCTCGTACAGCAGATTTGTACAATAAATGTTATGTATTATTATTATTATTATTACTAATAAAATAGTATTATTAATAATTATAATTGTAGATAATTAATACATACTAGGTGTTGTACGGATTAATTAACCTGTGATGTGTGGGGATTAGCTAGTATGCAAAGGATCTAAAAACAAAAAAGATGATTTAAATAATCAAACAAACACAAACAAAGCAACAGAGCTACTTCCTATTCCACCAAAATGTACACAATTGTTGCTGCACATTATACTGCAGGCACATGATATTACAAATAAAACGTGTCCTCAGTAATGGCTTTCAGAAAGGCCCAGTGAAGAACAGTATCACAGTGTCACAGGTTTGCGTAAAATCCCAAAGCACAGAATATCTTAACATGCAGCAAACAAGCTGAGTTAGTTTAAAATAGTTTGGCATTTACAGTAATTGTTTTTATAAAATAGCAGGAGAAATCCCACAAAATTTATAGATAACTCACCTAACTAACTGTAGTTATAGAAATCACATGTGTTGCAATGACTACCATTTAATACTAGTTAATCACATCTTTGTTTCAAAACATTTATTTTTACTACGTAAAGCAGTGTATGTGTCATTGC